TTAGAGCGCATACACCTTGCCTTCTCAGTAGTGTACGATTCAGTCTTTTCGCGACTCCATTCTGTTGTGGTGTGGCTCTTGATTGTCCAGTGTCTCACAATGCCTTTATGATCACAAAAACTCCTTGAAGCTCCCTATGTGTATTTTGTACCATTTTTAGATCGTACAGTTTTTAGCTTTCAACCTGTTGTGTTCTCAACCATTGCTCTCCACCGCTTGAAAATGTCAAATACCTCATTCTTATGCTTAAGAAAATAAATCCAAGCATATCTAGAGTGATCGTCAACAAATGTAACAAAATACTTGGAACCACCTTTGGAAGCAACTTTAGCTGGACCCAAACATCCGTATGAACATAGTCTAACAACCTTTGTTCTTGTGGTTGCTTGTAGAGAACTTCACCCTGTGTGCTTTTCCATACACACAATGCTCACAAAATTCGATTTGTGGCTTCTTCATGTTCTTCAACAAACCTTCCCCACTAAGCAATGATAGACCCTTTTCCGACATATGCCCAAGGCGCATGTGCCATATCCTCGTGCATTCTGTTTGGTCTTTACTTCCACCGATTTCAACTGCTAAATCACTACCAATGAACCATGAACAACTTTTAAAACTCTATTCTCCTAGACTATTTTGCAACCATTTTTCTTTAATAATTCAAAATAAGGTTCTTTTGCAAATCTGGGATGTGTCACACATCCTTCAAGGTTATTATTGTTCCATCATGAATATTGACTCAAATAGTACCTAACCCGACAGTCTTACTATCATGATTGTTTCCCATCAAAACAGTACCACCTTCCAAACTTTAGTAAGTTGTAACCCACTTTGTATTTGGGCACGTATGGTGTGATGCACCTGAATCAAGCATCCACTGACCGGATATCTCATTGCATTGTTTGAAACTGAGCAACAATAATCATCCTCGTCATTTGAGACAAAACTAGCTTGTTGTTTTTCATGCTGTTTTCCTCTGGAGTTGTCGTTGTTGTTATTATTGAATTTTACCCTCTTATTTGGCAATTAGCTTTAAAATGACCAAGCTCACCATATTTGAAACATGCCCTTTCCGCAAGAGGTCTAGATTTTGATCTAAACTTTCCTCCATTGCCTCACCCTCTTTCATTACTCGTTCATCTGAGCTTGTTCGTTGTGTTCTCTTCCATTAGTTGACATCATTCCACTTGTAGTAACCTTTTGAAGGTCATCTGCTAAAAGCGATGTTCAAGTCTCATTCATGGTTAGAGAATCACCTACAAGCATCAATGTTTGAACCAGATTTTCATAGGATTTCGGTAATGAAAGCAATAACATGAGTGCTTGGTCTTTCTCAATTACCTTCACATCTATATCCTTCAAGTCTGATATAATCCTATCAAACTTATTGATATAGTCCTGGATTGAGGTGCCTTCTTCCATCTTGCATGTATACAATTTGGATTTTAAGTAGATCCTATTTGTTAGAGTTTTCGGCATGAAATTTGTCTCTAACTCTAACCACCAAGAATGCAACATCCCTCTAAAGGCATAAGATTATAACCGCTCGTGCTTCTAAGGTCTAACTCTTCCCAATCCTCATCCTTCATGACCTCGGGTTTTTGTTCTTTTCCCGCCAATGCCTTATGCATCTCTTGTGATGCAAGCAAATTTTTCATTTGCATCCTCTAATAGGAAAAATCATTTTTTCCATTGAATTTTTCAATTTCATATTTTCCAACTTTTACCGTTCCACTAGTAGATGCCATTATAATTATTTTAGAGCCTGTAATCATACTTCTGGAGAGTTAACCCATTCAACATGAAGTCAAGTTGAATGACAAGGAGAAGACCAAGAAAACAAGTGAATAGTCCTCAACCACAACCTTTGCGTCATAGCCTACGTGTCGTAAGCAAAAGACAACAAATGAAGAAAAATTCCTAACATTCAAATGAAAAAAAGAAAGCAAAAGTATCCAGCAAGCAAAAGGTCTTCCCTATTGATTTGCTTGAACAGGAACCATTGGCTCTTGTAACACTAGAAAAAATTTTCTCAGAAGACTACTTTACTTTGGTTACAGTAAATAGAGTCTCATTTGTGGAGGGTGGAAAGGAATAGGTTAATGATGAAACATCAAAAGTGTTAGCTTTACGACAATTTAAGGTAGCGGATTCTTACTTTGTTGACGCCAAGTTTTTCGAAGATGAGGAGGCGTCAAGTGAGATATTGCCTTTGCAAGTTTCTTCAACAAGAAAAAGAGAAGTTAAGGGGAGCATTGCTTTGCCTTCAAATACCAGAAAGGGCATGGTCAAAATGTGTTGATACACGCAAAAGGAGCATAAATTTGATGAGATGAAGCTGTATAGTCATTTGCAACTAAACATTAAGCATCTAAGGCCTTAGAGGCATGCTCAAGAGAATGAGGACCATCTATAGATCGTTTGCTCTGAGTAGGGTCTCCTAGGCTATAGTTAAAGCCTTCCTTGATAAACTAGGAGAGTCGTTACGAATTATATATGTGGTGATCCTTAGCCCTTTTCTCTTGCCAGAAAAGTTGGTCTTGGTACAAACAAAATATTGGGTTTATACTCTAGAATTTAGCAGCGACACTTTCAAAGTCTTGATCTTAGTTTTAAAAGCGCTCCTCAAGAGCGCTTAGGCGCTAGGCAAAGCGAGGCACAGGCCAAAACGCCTCGGTCTTCCCTGGTGCAGCACATTCCAGAAGGCGCGCGCCTCAACCGCCTCCACCAAGGCGCAAAGCGCAAATAAAGGGGATCTGGTTTATTTTTGTAAAAAAAAAACCATTTTTACTTCAAATTGAAAGTTACCTTGTCTTTAAAATGATAAATCGAGCAAAAGCCTCTTATTAATTAAATGAAATTGCTTAATTTTAATCCCCAATTGGAAAACCCTAATTATCGAAAAACCCAGTATTTACGAAATACTAAACAATTGAAGGAATTGTTTAGTGCTGCTACAACAAAGATCGCCAGAGAGCAATCCTCGACGGTTTCTAGCACTAGATCTACCGGAGGCCGGTGACGGTCAAACAGGTAATTTTGCTTCGCTTTGTTCTTTCTCCCTCTTCCCAGGTAAGGGTTTTTTTTCTTTAGTTAAATACTTGAAAGCCCACTTCCCCTTCTGATTTTAGTAACCACGTGACTCCTTCCCCCTCTTTTCTAATTATTTTTAAAACAATTTTTTTTAATTAATTATTAAACTTATATAAATATATTTGAGGTTATTTCCCTATGTTTTCAATATCAAGAAAGTTGTATAATAATTAAAATATAAAAAAAGTGCGCCTCATATATGAGAGGCGCGCGCCTCCGCCTTGCACCTCTCGCCTCACACCTAGGCTCGAGGAACCCTTTGTGCCTCGGTGCGCCTCGCGTCTCTGCCTTGCGCCTCGCGCCTCACACCTAGGCTCGAGGAACACTTTGCGCCTCGGTGCGCCTCGCACCTTTTAAAACTAAGGTCTTGATCATTTTGGAAAAAAGAAAGGATTCAAAAAATTAAGATGACAATACTTATAAGTTGTTTGTCATTGGGAATGACATAGATTCTCTGAAAATCGCCAAAGGATTCCACATTGTTTAGAGCATTGTCTACTCTTACTGTTATTCTTGTAATTTACATTAAATTCTCCATCACTAGAACTTCTTCCTTGGCTAACATCTCTAGCCATCATAGGTTTGGAGTTGGCTATCTTGGGAAGAGCATGATTCCTTTTAGGTCTTAGATTTAGGAGCACTTGTGTCGCTAGTTTGTTCTTGGCTCTTCCTAGACTTATTGGGATCAGCTTCGGTACTTCCTTCATGTATAAGATCTCGTGCCTCTCCATCATTGATGCTTTAAACTTTGAGAACCTGAGATTACAGTCATCACAGGGCCTTGTGGAGAATGTCCCAGATCGTGGTGGGTACCAAAATAGTATGCTAGCCAACTACACAAGTAAAGAGCCGGGAAGAACGAGCTAGAATAAGAAGGCTTGAAAGATCTCAAAATGCCATTTAGACCATGATAATGCTGCCAATCACCGAAACTGCCAAATGTAGTCGGGTGTTTCTTTTTTATTTTTTCTAGCGAGTCGGGTCATGAGTCGTTTGTAAGAAAAGGCGGGTACCCGCTGACCCATTAGTAGTAATTTGTTTTAAAAAAAAAAAAAATTGGCGTGCCAACCAGCCTATAGACTTATCTCTTACCAAGGTTACATAATCACGCCTTTTCCCACTCACCTAGGTTACATAGGCGGGTCATGGGTCGTTTGTGAGAAAGGGAAGGGGGTTGACTCGGTGGTGGGGGGTTCTAGGCGGCACCTCAGTTGGGGGAGGGGGGTTGCTGCCAAGGGAGGGGGAAAGGGAGGGAGTGCTGGCTGGTGGTGAGGGTGGTGGTTTTTGTTTTTGTTTTTTTTTTTTTTTAATTATAAATTAATTTAATTATTAAATGGTTAAGTGAGGGTTAGAGGGTAATTAGAAGAAATTAGAGGTTAATTAAGTATTATTAGAAGTACGAGGTTGTCTTCAACTACAAAATTTCACAATCAGGTTTTCTTTTACGATAAATCTTTTAAATGGTTTTTTTTTTTCGCAAAATGGTGCTTTTAAAAGGTTGTTTTGACAAATTTTCCTTTGAAAAATTTTACAATGCACGATTTATTATTTGGGTAAATTATAGTCACGTGAGATCTTGTTATATTTATCTTTTATATTTTTACAATATCAAATTTTTATATATTTTACTTATCTGTAATTAGAGATAACAATGGCTGAAATTATGAAATGTCATGAGTACAAGTCAAACTATTGCAATTGAAAGAGAATGAAGAACATTTTTTGGCATTGTTTTTATTATAAACATTAATTAATCAGTATATTGCAATCCTTTTAATATTCTTGGTCAAGTTTTATAATAAGTAATTGTTTATATATTTTTTTTCCATCTTTAGTTTACTTTCTGGAAGTCCAGAGACGAATATCATATTTCATGTTTGCTAATCAACACCTACTCCTTATACCAGTTTGCTCCATTAGATTTACCTGCTGTTGTGGATGCATTTCTTGGCTATTGGAAGCCAAATGCTGTTATTCTCATGGAGAGTGAACTGTGGCCAAATGTTTTAATGGCTGCATCTAAAAGTAAGGTTAGTTCATAGTTATTTGGAAACGTTTGTTCATAATCATTGGTTGGCAATTTGCTTTAGATTTACAGTTTTTTAGGGCTATTTGTAGTATATTGTATGCTAGATTTCACATATTTATTTTTCTTGCATGATTTTAATAGAGTGTATCCAAGTTCATCTCCTTGATTAACGTTACGCATTGGTCTGCATGAAACTTTAAAGTAATTTCATAGATCAGGGTTTTAGTGTTAACATGTAGTAATTCTATGTGAAAGTTCTTCTGGTCCCTGTCCATGGGAGAGGAGAGGGGAGATGGGGGTATAGTTTCTGCTTGTGTTCATTTGCAAAAAACAAAGAATAAACACAATTGAGAAACAAATTTAATTGCCCACATATGGTATCTTAGTTGATCATTATCTGGTGTTTACACGATGATGTCATTGAAATTTCAACTTTTTTTTTTTTTTTTTTTTAACTTTTTTCAGATGGCACTAGTTTTGCTAAATGCCCGAATGTCTGAAAGATCTTTCAAACATTGGTCTGCACCCGCAGTTCTTCCACTAATTGCCTTGATGCTGTCGAAGTTTTCCTTAATCATGCCATTGGTATACCATCAAACTTTATGTTTAAAAACAACTTCCTGCTCTCATTTTATCTCTAAGTTTAACTTTGTTCACAGAGCACGGCGGAGGCAATTCGCTTTCAGCTACTGCAAGCACCACCTTTTATAGTCAACATATCGGCTGACTTGAAATATTGTAAGAATACTCGTGCCTTGATTTTCTGGATTATTTGTCTTATGGTAAATTTGTTGTGTTGATATATATATATATGCAAGTCTTGTAATTTTTCTTTAGCATCCTTTTGTGTGTCACTGCTCAAGAGGTATAATGGAAGATTCCAAATCAATTTACCTAGTCGTGAGTGTTTGTGTTTTTCTTTCTTTTTTTTTTCCCTGTTTTTTTCCTGTTGGCCCCAAAGCTGTTGGGTGGGATTGAGGGGGGGGGGGTGGTGGTAACCAGAATAATTTTGCAATGTAAAGAAAGTAGCAGAAGCGGGCATTTAAAAATGGGACAAAGGAAGTAGTTATTTTCCTTTTTGTGACGAATAAAAATGACTCTTTATTTCATCATGTGCTTCTGACTAGAATGGAATAAATATTATAATTTGTAATAGATAAAAGGGGGCTATTTGAAGGCTTTATTAGTGTTGATTGTGCTTTTGTTAGGTGTTGGAGAAATTGCAACTTCAACTAATTCTTTGAAAGGCGTTAAAGATTTTTTGGCACAGCTTAATCATAGGGAGGTTTGGATGGCTTCTTCGGTACATAAAGGAGAACATGAAGGTTGGTCAGAATCTTCACTTCATTTCATATTCATTGTTTTTGTGATATTATTCCACCTTTTGGAATGACTTTAAAGTTAGAATCATTTGAATGACAACTAAAGTCCGACCCCTTCAATCCCCTCAACCAATGGCTAGTGTTCCTAAAACTTAGGCATCCACTAATACTAAGTTGGTTGAGAAGCATGGGGATGAAATGAATGTTTTTATAGTGGGCAAGTAACAAAAAACAATTAGCATTTAATCCATCAGATGACGCGCATTTTTGTGTTGCAAATATTGTTTGTATCGATTACTTGCATCCATGTCCATTTAATGTATACATTCACCATGAGAATAATTAATTAGTATTATTTTGTACTAACAAACATGAAACAAAAGTTATTAAAAATGTATATTAATTTATGTCTTTAATTTCTTTATCTCTAAATCTGGAGCAACTCGTATATATTTGTGCAAAAAATGTAAGGATAAAAAGTTATAAATTTATGTAGTGTCAAACATATTATATTGTTGAGCTAAAATATACTCCTAACGAACAATTTTGTGGTGGATCTTCACGACCCTTCTAAAATTTATAAAAATATTTCAGTTGTTTTAATGGTGTAAAATCGAAGGATATTCTTAAAAGGCAATGACTTTAAAGTTTGACCTTAGGAGCAATGATCCTAAAACCCTAGTTAACAACTAGTTCAAACATTAACAAAGTTCTCTTCAAGCAAAAGCTCAACAATCTAATTTTAACTATAATTCTAACATTAAGCAATATACAGAGTATATAGGGAAGATAAATCTAAATTACTTGCTCCACAAGCAAACTTTAAAAAAAAAAGAAAAAAGAAAAACTAGTTAATTAGCTAATGAATCAATATAGCCCTCTAATTAATTGGCGAAGCCCAAGACACCCCAAAACTTGTACTAAGAGAATACTAATATTTTTTTATTAAAAACTCACATGTAAAATTTCACACTTTAGAGTAAGGAATAAGCAATATAGATAGTTATAAAAAGAGTTTTGATTTGCAACAAATATGTTTTGGAATTGATTAATCAGCCTTGGAGGAATTGCATGGGAAATTGATTCAAACATGAGTTGAACTTGAAAGTTAAAATCAATACTCTCTTTAGTGAGCTTTTTTGGTTGGTTTACTTATATTTAAATTTCCTTAACTACTTTCTACATGCATTTGAATTATATTTCTCCAAAAATGTTTTTGATCATAATTGTTTGTGTTAAGTCTTGTCAATTTTTGTTTTCAGTAATGCTTCGAGTTCATAAAACACTGGTCCAAAGCCACCCAAAATTGTTAACTGTTATCGTGCCTCGACATCCATGTCATGGGTTAGACTTTTCCCAGGTGGAGTATTTATCTATCTGTAATCCTCTATCCTCCTATTACTTGTGGTAGTTTTATGTGACCACTTTGATTGGACCATGAATTTCAAGAAGTGCCTAACTCTTATAATTTTCGCAGGGATAAGATAAGATACTTGACGCATTGCATTATGTAAACATTATTTTCTTATATAAATCTAATTCTATATTTTGTAATACTACTCCACTACTTATTGTCCAGCCAAAAGACTGATTGACATAAGCTTTATTGGGGATCAAACATCATTGAATTTTCATCAGCATTATCATGGTTGAGAATGAAAATTTTTCTTATGTCTGTTGTCATTTTTAAATTGCATCCATCACCTATTGTAATCTTCGAATTGCATCCATCACCTATTGTAATCTTTGAATTGCATCCATCACCTATTTAGACTGATTAAAATTTTGTTGGGTTTTCAATATAAAGGTTTAATTGTTGAGCTTCGTATTTTTATAGTCTGACTAATTTAATCATTTGGTTTCTTAAATTGCATACCTATACAAGGTTTCAAGTTTTGATCGATATTTGCGGAGTTGCTTATCCTTCTGAGGTGTATTTATATCTTTTATCTAATAATATACCGTTGTTTCAATCATGTGCAGGCATCAAAGAAATTAGGGTTAACAGTAGCCTTGAGGTCTGATGGTGGTAAACTTACATCAGCAACAAATATTTATGTGGCTAATACATTAGGTGAATACTTGCTCTCGCTTTTCCTGCTAGTTTTATCAAAGTTGATAGTGCTTCAAACTTACCTAGAAGTTACATTTGCACTCCTCAGTCCCCCCCCCCCCTCCAAACTCTGCTCTCAACTTCAAAGGAAAAGATCACATTAATACATCTTTTGTTAGACTTTTGATGCATCTTCACTAGCCAATTTGATCCTGTAAACCTTAGTTATGGACAATGAAGGGAATTATGCACTCTATGTGGAGCAAATATGGAAAGTCATAGTCTTTTCATGTAAATCACTTAACAAAATAAAAAAGTAGTACTTAAATTTAAAGTTTTTCCAAGGGTTGTCAAGCCACTATCTTCCATATATGTCCTGGACTTGATTACATGCAACCATCGAACTTTTTTCTTGGAATCACCTAAATCAGGTAATTTGTAGGTGATTTAAGTGTTTGTAAATTTCTTGTGTCGAATTTATTGAAAAAAGGAAAATGATATTCAATTCATTAAAGTAATTATTCAAAATACAACCATCCACATTTGAGAGGTGGATTCTCTTCGAAGCTACTTTTCTCTGCAAAAATTTTCCAATGCCTTATCACTATATTATGCTATCTTTTTATTTCATTTCCCACACATCCCTCCCTACTCTCAACTTTTGAACTCTTACTCTAGCTCCAATGATTACACTGCTTATGAGGTAGATTCCCTTTGTTTCCGCTAATCACATTATCATAACTAACTCTGATTGTGAGTTAGATTCCTTTTTTTTAATCCTTGAGTCTCCTCTTTGCATAAGTGAATTAGGGGCCTAGGTTGATCTGTTACACTTTACCCATAGTATTAGATGACCTTCAACTCCAAGGGATATAAAACCAACTTTTGTTGGAACTTTCTGGCTTAGTTTAGGGTGTTTGCCTCCACTTACCCTTATTCTTAGAAGGCACCAATATGTTGTCCTCACTCCTTATTTACCATGAAATCATGAATAAACTAGCATGTATCCCAATAATTGTGCGTGAAATTTATGATTCAATCCTATTTTTATTGATTTATGCTTATTATGCTGTCATATGTTTATATTATTTGCAATAAAAGACATATATTATGATATAGCTCAATGGTTAAGTTTCTAATGCTTAAACTTGAGATGAAGAGTTCAATTGTATAAACCATATTTGCAATAGTAGTTGAGAGTCTTGTACTACTATCTTATGTTATTTAAGCCTTTCTCAATCCATTAAGTGTTCTTCCTATGTAAAAGTCTTCCCCTTAAACTGTAATAGTGAGGTCCGTGACCTTTAATCTATTACCCACTCATAAGGGGGAATTGAAAAGACATGAAGATTTATGGAAACAATTAGCAAGCTAGTAACTTGTATATGCATTGGGCAATTTACAAATCATGCAAACATAAAAACATATACTACCTCCGTTATATATGATGTGCAACATTTACAAAAAATGGTTGTTACACGTTATGTACAACAAATGTTTTCTTTCCTTTTTAAGTTGTCATTTCTCTCTATCTCTCTCCTCATCACATGCATCATTATCTTTCTCTCTCCATTCAACACGTACAAATAAATTTTGCCTATGAGTCCGTGCAAGCTCATTTGTTACACATAATATGAAACAAAGGTAGTAAAATGGTATCAAAAGGACATAAAGCACACAAATTTACAAGAGGAATTGAAAAACCTATTTGATGTAAATTTGCTTGATCCTCCATTGGTCTCACTATGCCATTCAGAGACACCTAAGATCACATCTCCATGCTTATTGAATGGGTCTGAGGAGATTTCTCATATCTCGTTGTTACTATAAGATGCCCCTTGGGAAACAATAGCAACGTCCTCTCAAGCTTCTTTTTTGCAACCCTTTTTATTGAATTGGGGACTTAGGTTGTCCGTTGCACTTTACCCATAGTATAATACCATTTCCCATCTTCTACATAAATAGAAATGTAACCTCCTAGTCGGGCTATTATACCATTTCCCTCTTTCTCGTTAAAAGGAAATGTAGCTTGCTTAATCTAGCTTTATTTCTTTTTGTATAAAGCATACTTAAGATATTTAATGGTTAAAACATGCTAATTATCTTTCCTCTATTAGTCTATCTTGATTGGTGAACTTCTAGGTCAATTTTGCACGTACAAATTAGAGCTAATGTAACACCGGCAAAACCCATGAATATTGCACACGTGCATGACTTACTTGTTTTGTTCTTCCACTCAAGTTCCTTGACTATGATAGTATTGGACATTTTCCTTTATGGTGAGTGTAAAACACTTATGACTTACGGTTGGGATGGGAATGAATGGGATTGTCCCATAGTTGAGACGATTCACTTCCTTTATTTGTCCTTACAGATAACTAAAATTTGTAAATGGTAATTTTTATCTTTGTTGCTAAGTTGTGATCATGTTCGTCTTAAGGTTGTCTTACACTTAAACATTTCGCTTCCGGGTGATTTTAATCTCCTTTTTTGAATAAGTGAAGCAACTTCTTGCTTATTTTTGTTCTAAACCTAAAATCCCTATACTTTGCTTCTCATAAGCTAAATTTTTGTCAAAAATTTTTCTTTGTTTGAAAATAATGGAATCAGGGTAAAATAGAATCAAAGGAATGTTTGTCAATCTTTATTGAACTTTCAACATTCCCTATTTCCCTCATCACTTTACAGGTTTGTTTTATATTAAGGCAAAATTATACTAGATTGGGTCATTCTTACACTGAGGAGAATGATACCCATGCTTGGTAAAGATTAATAATTCTAAGAGCAGAGCATAAGCAATTTAATAGAAGTTTGAAAGACGTTACAAATACTTCTTTTTTTAAAAGTGTTGCACTTTGACTGTCACATAATTTTAGGTAGATTTATTGACCCTAATATAATAAGATCTAAGTGGGTAGTTGGGTGTAATGGATTCAAGCTCAAAATCAAGATCTAACAAAGAAAATAAGAAGAGTTAGGAGGAAAGATTGAGTCTTTAATTAAGATTAAGCCAAAAGGTTTCTTACAACGGTAGCTTTAGGCTACCACTCTCCAAAAAGTCGCTTGAGGTCACAACTCTCCTAGGAGGTAGCTCATAATCTGCTTGCCTAATCCTTAGCTCTCTCTCTCTCTCTCTCTACATGGTTTCAAACCCTATAATAATTTTAGACTGAGCTTTTGCCTCATGTACACAAGTGGCCCCTCTTAGTTCATTGCATATATTCCCTTATTATACTAATGCCCCTTTCCTAGGTCGGTTCATTACATTGGGGTATGAAAAAGTTATAAGAATAGGTAGTGGAGGTAATAGTTTATTTAAAAGTAAGGGATGTGAGAAGAGAGAGAAAAATTTAGTAGTTGTATGTATGTGTGGGGACCATGAGAGGAGAGAGATATAATATTATAAGGTAGGAGTTTGCCAAACAAAGAGGAACTGTAACACTTGGAAAAAACAGCCGCATTAGGAAAGTAGAACACTTTAAAAAGTGGAGGGGATAGACACTTTTTCCATAGCTTGCAGTTTTGGCATGTCCTTTTGTGATTACGATCATGATGTTGACCATTTCACTGTTGAAATTACCATCCAAAGCTTGTCGATGTAGTCCAATATGTTCTCATAAAAGGAAAATTTTCTTTGCTTACAGCTGAGACTAGAGGGCTGTCACTCTGTCAGTAAATTTATTTATTTTTTTCGAAATGACTGATTTTGCAGGTGAACTAAGAGAGCTTTATAGGTTGATGCCCATTTCGGTTATTGGGGGGTCTTTCTTACCAACTTCATCTGGTCATAATATTGCAGAAGCCATGGCAGCTGGATCTGCTGTTTTGACAGGTTGATTCTGCTGTTGGTTACCCTATAGTGTCATAACATGTTTTCACAAATTGCAAAATAATTTTAGTATACTCTATTTCCCAATAAAAAGATTGTTTAACTCGGAATATGTGACTCATGATTCACCAGATTATGCGTCAAATTCTCGAAACAAAAAAGGTTTTTGGGACATAGACAGTTGTTTTAGACTTTTAGCTACATCAGAGAAGCTTCTTAAAAGTTCAGAAGCTATCTGAGTATCTGGGCCATATTTTGCAATTCCTGCACATAACAGTGTCGGTGTAATGTGGGATACCTTCTAACTATAATAAGTAATTAATTTCATTACTTGAAAAAAAATTCTTATTTTTGTGACTAAAGCATTTGTATTCTAAATCCAGGTCCTCATGTTGGTCACTTCTCACACATGGTATCAGCAATGCAGAGCTTCAATCCTCTGTCCATTCTACAGGTGTGTGTAACAAATTTGTCAGTTGCTCTGTGTCTCTTGAAAAATTTATGTTTGTTGGTTGATGGCTAGAATATATAATCTTTTAAGGTGTGTGCAACATACTTTGCATCACTGTAGTACAGTGTTAATTCTCCATTAAGATCTAAGAGAAGCTAATAGAGGTCAGATATTGACTTCATGTGACTGGTTGTCCCCGAAAAACAGAATAATCTTATTTGTAGCTTTTTATTGGATGAGCTTAAATTTTTTTTGTTATTTATTCAGCCTTATGATTGTTGGTTTTTTGTCTATTAATTGCTTACTATAAGTCTCTCAAATGGTAAAGATCAAGGGATTAGGAAGATTTATATTGATACTCCCTGTGTACCTTATTGTTTGTCCCATTGAGTTTGCCCATACTACGACCCACTACATTTTGACCTGCCACTTCTCTTTGTCATCAACTCCTCTGAGCCAATATTTAAAAGTAACTTCACCCCAATGGAGCAAATAAAAGGGTCAGAGGAAGTAAAATGTAACTGGAATGTGTACAGAAATGGGTTAGCTCTTCAATTATACAGAAACCTAAGAGCAGATAATAGCTGGTGACTGACACAGTTTTGGGAGAAACAGAGAAAAAATGTAAACATTGGAAGTGTGTTTTGTTTCCTAAAGTATCCAGTCAGGCTTACATTGTCTTTAAAAATGAATTACTTCCTCTTTAGTTAATGTGGATCCAAGTTGGTTGGTCTATTGCATATATGTAGGCTTTTATATAAACACTGATTTTCAAGAGCAGAACAAGGAAGCATTATTTTGGATTCCACAAGTTGACTATACTTATCAACCTCCATCACTATATGCAATTATTAGAGTTTTCCACAAAACCTTTACATTTTGTTTATGAGCAATGAAGGGTGGAAGGAGTAATGAAATGAATCAATATCTATTAGTTGTTTGGTCTATGGCGTAAATGTAGGATTTTATAGACACTGTTTTTCAAAGAGCAGATTAAGGAAGCATTATATTGGATTCCACAAATTGACTATGCTTATCAACCTCAATCACTATATGCAATTATTAGAGTTTTCCGCTAAAACCGTTACAATTTGTTCATGGACAATGAAGGGTGGAAGGAGTAATGAAATGAATCAATATCTGTTAGTTGTTTGTCTATCATTTTGGATCATACAGCTTAATCTTACTAAAATTGCATTAAGCTATTGGACCTATCTTCCTTAGGACAATTCCTGCACTGCCTCGGTCAATTATGCATTGAGAAATCTATACCAATACATAATGCCCCATCCAATCTCAGATGAAGTATCTGTAATTATGCATCGAGGAAAAAAAAAATGATATCAGCATGATTGATGTAGAAATAGGTTAAATGAGAGCAATTGAAATTTGAAAATACTTATTTTATCTTGTGTATTTCATAGGTTGAATAGCTTGTCTTTCCAGTACATGATTGCCTTCTACTATCATTAATACTGTCCTTTGACTCCTTTCTTATCTCAATATATTCATTGGGAAGCTCACTAACTGATGTGAAGGAAATTATATATGAGTCGAATGTTGCCAAAGGAAAATAGATTGGCTTAGGTTATCAAGATATTATTTTGTTTTGATGTCAATTATATAATTTCAAAAAATTAATTTCCTCTGATGTTCCGAACTCTGTACATCTCATTCTTTTTAAAACTTTTTATGATGTCCATTTTTTTGAACCTATGATTGTAAAAGCTCTCATTGCTTTATGCAGGTTTCTGGAGAAGCAGAGCTAGTAAATTCCCTCCATGAACTCCTAAGTGTTCCCATTAGATTGGAAGCTCGGCAGACAGCTGCTAAACAAGCATTTTATGCACTATCTTGTGGGGTTCTCTCACGTGTGTGGATACAACTTGATTGGTTTATTCTTAAAAGGATTCCTGTTTGAGCAGGAAAATCTAAATAGATATGTAAATGTTCAATTCGAAGGAAGTTTCTGCATTCAAAAGAAACAAAGTTTCTGCAGTTAAGTATTTTGTTCTTACTTAATTTAAATTGTTTGAGTTGGTATATTGTTGCTTTTCATTACAATCTATGTTACTTGGACTCTTCATTTCACCTCAAGTGCCCATGTCGAACCCTCGATACTTGGACGTGGTAGGACACTTAGATACTTCATAAGCTATCAAAATCACAATTTTAAAACAACACTTCGATGAGTTTAAAGGCTGGTTAAATTAGGTAATCACAAGTGCCGCAAGGTACTGTATAGGCCACCTTTAGTGCCTTGTTCCTTAGAACCTCCACCATGGTTACCTTCATAATTACATAGAATCTTAAGCCCTTGCGCCTAGAGACTCAACTGCGCTGAGTGCCCCAATACCCCTCCCCTGCACATGGACACTGGTTACCTTGTGGGCTTTGAGAAATGGCTGGGAGAAGACCTTTAATTACCAATCTAAAAAGATAGGAAATTGTATTCTTCGTAATTCTAAGATCTATCTCTCCTTGGATATGATTTTGTTTTTCTTTCTTGCAGTGCATTGGCTTGTTAATTATTAACTAACATGCTTTCAAGGCGTATTATTTTTCATGCACTAGGGAAGATGCAAGATTGGCTCGCTGGTCAGTTACTTTCTCATTTGATCTGTTTTTATTTCTGCATTGAATCTCAATTGCTAGTTTACAGAACAACCCTATAGTTTCCATAACATGCGCATTATATGACTGAGATGAATCCATTCATTGGTCTAACCATCTGTGTATACTACAACACTTGGTGCTTACATTACTTAGCATAGATAATAAGTATTAGGACAATTATATGCAAATTGGAAATGGAAGTCATATTTTTACTGCAGTATGGTTATTGTAGTATTTGATTACAAGACTAAGTCATATTTGATTACTGCAGTATGACTCTCTCCGTGCTTTCCTCTACCACGCGAAGAAGAGAGGTCAAAGGGTAGGCGAGGCAAGCAATACTTCTGGTGCTTGCAAACCTTTGGTCACATTTAGAGAACGTTCTAAGGTGGAATCAATAAAGGATCGTAGGGTTTGTGTGAAGAGGAAAGTGCCTCTAGAGTATGATGATCTAGAAAACATTGTGGGGATTGATAGAAGGAAAAAATTCAAGCCCTCTAATATCCGAGGGAAGTGGAAGAGATTAAGGAGAAAGGAGGGCATGGACCTGCTATCAATGGCCTCACGCTGCGGCTAGAATACTGGTGTGGGTTTACCAAGGTTACTCTCACCGTGTCTTCCTGATCTATTCCGCTGGACCCTCCGTCGGATTTAAGTTATGTCGCGGAGGTATCGTCGGGGGCTTTTGTTCTTTCTTTGTCAGTTGGGAGTGGTTTATTGTTGAATTCGGTGTCCCACGCAACTGATGCTTCCTTTTCTTCGGATGGCACAATCCCTATGGAGTGTTCCCCACCACTGTTGTCATTTGTTGATCATCTCGATCTGCTTAGTTTGGTAGGCAGACCAGTCGAGCTTATTTGGTTAAACGAGGGTGATAAAGTCTAGGATTGGGGTAGAACAGTTAGTCTTCGTAAGAGGTTGTATGTTCCGCCACTAGGAGCTTTTGGGGGCAATAGTGCTTTAGAATGTTGGTTGAGTATGCCTTTAAAGAAGCGTAAAGGGATAATAGTTGCAGACTATTCAGTTAAGGGTGGTATTTCTTCATTGTTTGAGGGTTCGGTGGACCCCCGCTTTGGGCCACTAGGGGGCCAATGAGGCTTGCCTCTTGGAACTGTAGGGGTTTAGGGATGGCGGACTCCCCTAAGGTTCCTTATATATTTGATCGTCTTCTCGTTTGGTTTAGATGTTTTTTTGGCTGAAACTATGGTCAGTGTAGATGATATTGTTGTACAAAAGTTAGCTTCGGTTGGGTTTTTTTGGATTTTCAGGTGTGGATTCACAAGGGTTAAGTGGGGGTTTGCTTTTGTTATGGTTTTCTCTTGTGTCTGTTGTCCCACTTTTGGTTTCTTCTCATGTGATTTTCTGTAAAATTATCAACAACTTGGTGGTTAAATACGTATCTTTTATGTATGGGGATGCCTTAATTGCTCAGTTCCCTAATATTTTGTTGGTTGGAGATTTTAACCAGGTGGAGTATTTATCTGATAAAATTGGGGGTTGTCCTGTTATCCCTGGTAGACATGATTTCATTCAGTGGCGGTTGTCGAACGGGTTACTAGATGTCCCGTTTACTGGTCCTAGCTTTACTTGGACTAATGGTCGTGTCCTTTCGGATCCTACTTTTGAAAGATTGGATTGGGCTTATGCCTCTGCTGCTTGGTTTGATACCTTTCTTGCGACATTGGTCAAGCACCAGCCTATCCTTTTGTCGGATCATGCTGTGATTATTCTACACGACTTGGTGGTCCAATCCTCTTCTAATCGGCCATATAGGATTGAGAATTGGTGCTTATCTTCGGCGAAAGTGGCTGATATTGTTGCGATATTGTTGTGAAGGTCTGGCATCAGGCTTTGTTAGGATCACCTATGTTTTCTCTTACTTGTAAGCTATCACTTATTCGGCGCCGCCTTTTGCAGTGGTGTGTGGGGCATAGGAAATTATAGGGTATCAATTGGAAACTGTTGGCTCTGGATATTTTTGCAGCTTCCTGGGATCTCCAATCCCGTGCTGGGAGATGTCTATTTAGTACTGTTGTTAGACACCAGATGGTCAACGTGTGAAGATCAAATAGGATGCTTTTAGGGAATGTCATTCAGGTCTTTTGTTTTCCTCGGTCCAAGCGAGGCGTAGGTGTAATACTATTTCTGGTTTGAAGGATAGTTCTGGCAGTTGGGTTACTGAGCCGGCGGCAATTACGGGTCTGGTAACAAATTTTTTTCATTCTCTTTATTCTATTGACGACCCGCTTCCTGTAGCCTTGTCCATTCAATGGGATCAGTTACACCTTCCTCGGCTGTCTTCTGCCTCATGTTCGCAGCTTTTGCTTTCATTTTCTACTACTGAAATTCGAGACGCCATATTTAGTATCGGAGATAATAAATCCCCAGTTCCAAATGGCTTTTCGTCTCTGTTTTTAAAGAAACACTAGCATGTGGTTGGGGATCATGTTTCTTTGGCTGTTCAACATTTTTTCGCTCATGGTTATATGCTAAAGGATTGGAATCGTACTTTTTTGGTCCTTCCTAAGGTGCAAATCCTGAGGAAGTGTCCCAGTTTTGCCCGATTGGTTTATGTAATGTGGTGTATAAATGTGTTACTAAAGTCGTCTTCGCACTGTGTTTCCGTCAATTGTCTCTGATTTTCAGAATGTGTTTGTACCAGGTCAGTAAATGTCCGATAGTAGTCTTATGACACATGAGTTTCTCACCTTCATGAATAGGTCTAGAGCTCGTAAGCGTTTTTATGCCGCTCTTAAGTTAGATATGAATAAGGCCTATGATCGTGTGCGTTAGGATTTTTTGGTTCAGGTGTTGCAGGCGTTTAGTTTCCCTCCTTATTGGATTCAGATTGTTACTCAGTGTGTTACTACTGTCTCGTACCAGGTCTTGGTCAATGGTACCCCGTCCTCCTCTTTTCGCCCATGGTGTGGTTTTCGATAGGGAGATCATCTTTCTCCTTATCTCTTTGTGTTATGCATGGAGGTTCTATCTGCAATGCTTTGGCGCGCTGAGACGTTGGGTTTGTTTAAGGGAGTTCATATTTCTAGGGGTGGCCCGTCTATTTCTCATCTTCTTTTTGCCGATGATTCGCTTCTGTTTTTTCAACTCACTCCTTCCTCTTATGATCATGTTATGGGTCTACTGCAGGAGTTTTGTTATGCGTCGGGTCAGGTTTTGAACTTACAGAAATCCTTTGTTAAGTTTAGTCCTTATACCCCGACTGACTACCGTGATTATTTAGCTCGTGCTATGCGCCTTCGTCATCAGCCATCCTTGGGTACTTATTTGGGGTTGCCTGTCGATTAAGGTCATCGGAAAAGTTTCCATTTTGGCTTTATGGTCGATAAGTTGGTGGATCGTTTGTCGGTGTTTGCTTCTCTTCGGCTTTCCTTGGCGGTTAAACTAGTCATCATCAATTCTATCCTTGTGGTTGCTTTTAACCATGTTCTATCTATTTTTAAGGTTCATGGGTCTATTTGCTCCCGGATGGATCGATTCCTTGCTAGTTTTTGGTGGCATTCTTAATCTTCTTGGGGTCTTGCTCTTCGGTCTTCTGCGTTGCTTTATGCTCCTAAGGGTATGGGACATCTCGGGATTCGCAGTCTTTCTTGGTTTAATTCAGCTTTGTTGGCTAAACAGAGTTGACAGCTATTTCAGAATCCCCAATTACTGGCTTTGCGATTGCTTCACTCTAAGTATCCGTCTCTTAGGTTTTTAAACCAGGATCGGTTATCTCGGCCTTCGTGGGGTGCTAGGGGTCTTGCTTTGGGTATGGCCTCTCTTGCTCCTTGTATTGCTTGGAAGGTTGGATCTGGACGTGATGTTCGAATCACGTAGGATGCATGGGTTTGGGGGAGCCTGTGCAGTTTAAGTCGCTTCCCTCTGAGTTGGAGTTCCCGACTCATGTTTCCTCTCTTATTGATCCACGTCCTTACACGTGGGATGTCTCTTGAGTTCATCGGTTATTTGATGCCTCTTCAGCTGTGAAGATTTTATCCCTTGATCGTCCTTTGCAAGGGATGGATGATTTTGTGTATTGAAAATTTACTAGGATGGAAAGGCCTCCACAAAATCGGTATATGCTACGCTGCTGCAGGTTGCCTCCCATTCTTATGGGGTGGCCGCCCTCCCATCCTCGTGGTGGGGTAGGTTTTGGTCTCTCCCTCTTCTTCCTCGTTTCATGTTTTTAGCTAAAAGCTTTTCCCTTGGCATGCCTATTGATCCAGTTTGTTGTTTTTGTGGCATGGAAAATGAGAGTTTGGATCATCTTTTTCGAGAGTGTTGTTTTATCCGTCCTATTTGGGACTTGGAGGGTGTTGGGGGTCTGGTCTCTATTTCGTTTTCTTCGTCGTTTGAGGTTTGGTTCATACGCTCGATCTCTGTCTTCTCTTCGACTAAGGACTGGGAAGGTTTGGCTGGTTTTTTTTTTTGCTATCTTGTGGGCTATTTGGCTTTCGCACAATGCTTTGTGTTTTCGTCAAACTTTGTGCTCTGTTCCTTCTATTATGGCGCTTGATGTGATTGGAAAGCCCGCTGTGTGTCTTCTGTGAAATGGAAGGAGGAATATATGCTTTGTCTCTTTGTTTGATCCGGTTGTATTGAAAGGTTCACCTGATGTATCTCCTTTGGTTTGTTTAGTTGTTGACGGGGATTGGGAGAGGTCCGATAATAGGGCGGGAGCAGGTTAGATCCTTCGGTGCTCTGACTCTGATAGGGCTTTGGGTGGGGGTTCTAGAGTTTTTTTGGCCTCTTCGGCTTTGCAGGCTGAAATTCAGGCTTGTTATTGGGCCTTAGTTATGGTTGTGTGTCGAGGCTTTCTCAGTGCCCGTGTGTATACAGACTGATAAGATATCTTGATGCTATTACGTGGCCATGGGAGGACTGTCATGTCTTCCTATTGGCTCCTTGGGTCTTTACATTCCCTCGTGGCCTCGTGCTCGACTCTCCATATCCAGAAGGTCCCTCGTCTTTGGAT